ACCAAAAGATATCAGGCGGAAATGGCACTTTTGGCTAAATGCCAAAAGTCCAATTTTTCTGCAGATACAGTGGCGCATCCGTGCTTTCTTTCCTCCCCGCTGGGCGCTGCTCTGTGTCCCAGCGGGGAGGAGAGAAAGTGAATGCTAGTATTATTCATTCAGGTTAAATCATATTTATTAGGTTTCAATCATCCATCTCTATCAAGAACCGAACTGTTTTTCACTCGGAATGCATCTTGGTATCAATTGAGGTAAGTGTACTGTTTTCCTTGCAGTAATGCAAAGGTAGAAATGTTCCAGTGTACAGAAATGTGTATTATCTCATCCCTGCAGGTGAATTGAGAGAGTCTACAGAGGGGCTTCAGCTGCACTTGGTTTGGACACTCAATTACTGTAGCTGGCTTGTAATGAGTATAATGGCCATTTGGTTCCATAAAAACTGCAGAGCTTGGCACATCAAAAAGGTATGCCATTGTACCAGCACTACCCAAATATCAGGGTTACTATGCTGTCAGCCAAAAAAATCCATCCTGGCCATAACCTTGTTCCCCCATGGAGATATCTGTGATATAAGATACTCCAGCCATCTCTCTTTTTAGATCAGGGGTCTCAAACTCGATTCACTCAGGGGCCACTGGACAAATTTTTTCCCCCATAGGGGCCACTTGCCAAATTTCATAATTCGCACACACACACACACAGATACGCACACATAGAAATATGCACAACCCCCCACAACCAGAACTACAAACACTAATGTACACACAATAAAGCCCTATTCACACGTGTATGTTTAGGTGCGATTAGGGATTCCTGCATCAGGAATTTGCATTTGCCTGCAGCAGGAATCCCTAATCTGGCATTTACAAGCGGCAACTGTCACCCATTCAAGTTAATAATCAAGTGACAGCAGCTGCATATAAATGCCTGCACACCGCATATAATGGTATGTGATATAACATGTAGTTAGGAATCAATCATTATCCCTGGACGCATCGATCGTGAATCCAAGGAGAATGTTTCCTAACTGCATGTCATTATATCACACAACGTTGCATGCAGTGTGCAGGAACAGAGAGCACAGCCAGCAGCAGCTATGCGGTCTGCATCTGACAGAGATGCAGACCGTGTAGCTGCTCAGGCAAGTCAGGTACGCGGTCTGGTACTTTGAGACCCCTGTTTTAGATGATCTAATGTCTACAGTCATACAGATTCTCTTTTGGTAGATTACACACAAATGAGACAGGATTCTTAGTTCGCCTGAGTGCACTTTCATTGCTTTATGCTATAACACAAAAAGTATTTCAGAGATGAACACGTCTCCTGGTGGAACAGCTCTCATCACAAAGAATCAGAGATAAAGTTCCAACTTCTTTGACTGACTTAGCTGAAAACCCAACCATACTTTTCAACTTTAATACAGGAGTCCTTACTCATAGACTTCCTAGAGGATGGTTCTTAACAAAAAGAGCTGTGTTATTGGTTCCATAAGGGCCTGAGTTTTGGGTACAATTGACATGGGGTTTGGGTAGGTGGAGGTTGGGCTTGCTTAACTCTACATTAAAAAGGTTGAGAGGCATAACTCTGTTTATTCCATACATTTTACAATTATTGTGTGCAGACCAAACATTTTATTACACAGCTGAAATACATGTGTGTTTCCTCCCCAAATATCTTTAATTCTGTTTAGCCAATCTTGTGATTCCCACAGCCCTGCAACACTGTATATTAGAAGACGCTGCATTTGTAATCACATATTTTAATCAAACTATAATGTTACTAACCAGTAGGAAAATATGGAAGACTGCTGGTTTAACTTTAATGCAGGTTAATCAGCAAATGTTTTTCAACCTTCTTTAGGCCTGGTTCACACCTGGGCGTTTTACAGCGCGTTCCTACGCGCTTTTAAACGCTCAACATGTAAAAAACAATAATTGCCTATGGGCATGGTTCCCACCTGGGCGTATTTCAGCGCGTAGGAACACGCTGTAAAACGCCCTACGCCCAAAGAAGTACAGGAGCTTCTTTGGGGCGTATTTTCCGTGCGTATCCATTAGGATACAGCCGGATAGCCCTCGTAAATGCGCGTTTGTCGCATGTGTCTTTTACCGCAAATCACGGTAAAAACGTGCGGCAAACGTGCATATTCTGTACGCCCAGGTGTGAACCCAGCCTTAAGGAAAAACAATTCCTTAATATATTGATACTGAATTAACTAGTAGCAAGGATGATTACTAACCCTAGGTCATATGTAAACCATCAGCGAGTCCAAGCACACCAACACCTTACATAATATTCACATAATTGGAGAGTGAAACCCTTTTTTACAAAATGTTGTCATGATCAGAAGGTTTTCAGGGCTGCCAAGGCAGCACTGGAGGACCACATATGCTTCCCAGGACTCCACTTGAGCACAACAGATTGTTGTACATGTTAAATGTGAAACAAAATGCAATAGTGCCTTATCACAGTAATAAACCTTCCAAGATAACATTGTTCATTTAGCTCTTCTGGTGACATTTAATTAGACTGTCTGCCCAAGCAGAAGTAGTATCATTGCTAACCACAGGCATCTACAGTGATGTTGTTAGACTGGTATCCACCAATGATATGAAGTTCTTTCATAATATATGTTCCTCTTGTTTTTATACTCACTGATGACGCTGAACACTTGAATAGTAAAATGATAACAGAATGGAATAAAACTGCGGAAACTGAAAAGTGAAGCTGTAGGCTATCAGATGCTTCTAAATACAGCTTTGACCAATTGTGCTATCCCCCAGGTTTACTACAGAAGCAAAAAGCTTGGAGCTGGTGCCCTAGACATCCACCGGGCCCTAGGCTACTGTATATATTCCCTACTGTATAGGAATAACCCAGTGACGTGCGGTACCTCTGGTGCCAGGTGAGGCATTCCCCAGCCTCGCCCCCAGTATGTCATGCCCCGCCCCCGCCTGACGAATCCCCGCCCCAAGCTAGTTTGAAGGAGAAAAGGAGGAGACAGGGAGGAGCCCTTTTCTGCCATAATTCTAGGTGAGGCTCAGCCTCACCTGCCTCCCCTGACCGCACGTCCCTGGAGTAACCTGGCTCAGGGAACAAATAGGGAACATACTATTAAACAATTGGGAAACAATCAGAGTTACTTTAAAGCCTGGGCAAAATGTAAACCCCCCCCCCCCTTACCCATTCATGTGCATTGTTTAATTTAAATACCTACTAAATCAATCTTTTCCCATTACTGGATCCCTTGCTGGTGCCGTTATTCTTGTCCTGGCGTGGGAAACTGGTAATCCAGCGATGTAGATATACATGCGCTGACTGGTCCTGAGACTTGCAGGAAGATCATCCAGCCTGCAAAGCATTTCAGAGTGAGTACCTGCACATGCCTGTGCATGTCCATAGTTATACCAATAGAATTGTGCATAGTTCTACTAATAGAGTTGTGCATGGCTCTTCATCTGTGCACAGGCGCATCTGCATGTGCATCTTGGAGTATGTGTGTCTTGTGGCATATGCACACTCATAATGAATCATGGTGCCAAAGTGGACTGTTTGAGGCCAAGACATCTGTATTGATCTTTTATTACTGACCCTTCTGTGGTTCTCCTCCGATTGCTGTTATGTTCTCAGTCTCACTAACCAGGGTGCTTCGAATGAAGCAGCTAGAGAGGCTGCCCTCATCATCTCATGCTCCCATTGAGGTCTATAACAAGACTCTTCTTCTGGATTCAGAAAGGACCCTGCCATTAGACAGCAAATTGGAATTGTCTGCATCACACAGGCAGTGATGTGGACACCCATAGAAGGATCTTGCCTCCTATACAAAGGAAATGATAGAAGGCCTGAGGCGTCACATGGCCACTGATTTAGGTGAGTAAAAAGGGTATTTAGTTGGGAAACACAAAGTTCAGCTTTAAAGTATATAACATTACAAATGAAATTGAGGATGCAAACAATGTTGTAAGTGCAGTTAATAATCAAACATATTCATAGAACTGTTTACCAATGAATAACCAATATATTGCCTATAGTATGTTACAAAGATTTAATACAAATTTATGAAATTACTATATTGATGCATTGGATTTACTTTCCTGCTTAGGACAGCATTCTTATTTATTGCTTTCTTAGGGTCACCATACACATTTATATCTGAACAATCTTTGTACAATTAACTTTAGATTTACCAAATCTATGCAATACGAGGACCTACCTAATCTACCCCATTAATCTATATCCAATCAGGCACGTCCTCACTACATAGTTGTTGGTAGGTTTAAAGGAGATTCTACAATCAGACTGTGTGGGGTGAGCTACTGTGGAAAGATGACAGGTGGAAGTCGACTGGATCTCTGTACTATGTAAGACCTCCACTTCTTTCTCCCCCAGTTTTATTAATTGTCCACAACTGTAACATAACCCATGAAATAACCCATTTATAAATGTTTCCTCTTACCCTTTTTTCACAGTTCAACAACTATTTGGTTTGTATATATGTGAAAGAAATGCATATATTGGTAAACAAACAAAAGACAATTTGCACATGAGAAGTATGTGTAGTGACAATCACTCATACATGATTTTTGTTTCCTTAAGACTCTTGTCCCTGTCTTTTATTATATGTAATTATCCGATGCAGAGCCTGCACAATAGATACATGGAAGCTCCACATAATTGCTTGAAAAGTGGTAAGCATCTGAGTTTGGTATCTTCTAAAGAGCATCAATGTAGGTTTTGGTGTATTTCCCCTGGAACTAAACATGTCTCTGTTCCCAACAAGGTAGGTCTTCTTCTAGTCATTCATAAGAGCATTGCTTGTGGTGTTATCAGTCCCAGAGAGGGAAGACTCTCTCATTAAAACTAGAATCTCTATGGCTGCAGACAAAAGCTGTGGATGAGCGGCAGGTTCACCTGAATTTATAGTGTAGTGAGGTGTTTAGTGGCAGTGTTTGGTCACTGTACAAGACCTCCCGTCACCATTCTATAATCCTGGAGCAGCATTGGTGTTGCATTTTAAATAACTTTATTTGTAAACCTAGTTGTGTGAAAGAAATCCTCCCCTTTACCCATCACTTCATATTTACAGAGTTCTTTCTCAACCTCAAGGTCTCTGGCAGTATAACGCTGTGTCGTATCCCAATGGTTTCATACAGTCCGAGATGGCATTCAAATGACTGTGCGAACATTGCCAGCTCCAACCTTTTTCCGCAATACATCAACCAGTCTTTCCAACCTGTAAAGAGATAAAATTAAAATATTATAACTGTTAAACATAAAAAGGGGCATGTTTACGTTTTCTCTCAGGAACAATCACGATAACACTAAAGGGAAAAACAGACAAGTATACATATACTCTTATGTGCTCTGGATATGAGGACACCTTGAATGTGTGCAATGAACTTGGTCCTTGGTAGAAGTCATTGGTCCAAGGAGTAGGAGACTCACAAGCTAGACATTTGATATTGAAAACTGGGGCCATTCTAAATTCAATCACATACTAAAACATGTTCATATTATGGTATTATGGAAGTAATAAACCTGAGTAGTCAGACCTCCCACCCTTAGGTCTCATAAAAAACTATGCAGACTTGTTACATGCTATAGGAAAGGATTCATTCAAAGAAAAACATAGAACATAGTTAATGAAAATGAAAAAAAGACCATGACCATGTTTATGAAGTTCAACCTCTCACAATGCCTGCAGGTTTGGTCAGAGAAATGCAAAACATGTAAATGGCTGATTGATTGATAGATAGATAGATAGATAGATAGATAGATAGATAGATAGATAGATAGATAGATGCTAGTTTCCTGGCTGTGACTGTACTGGCTTAGTCAAAGACCCGGAACAAGAGCAGAATAAATGAAAGCTGGAGAAAAGTCAGAAATCCTTATATCTATACATGGTCTGGGAGTCAGTATCTTAAAGAGACCCTGTCGCAAGATCATTCCTTTCAACAACAATCTTCCAATAGGATTATTATCTGTGCATTTTATGTATTTAAGGCATGTTAATTACCTGTAAAAACGTCCACTGTGTAGACATCTAAAAGCACTGAGAGTCTTACTGGGTAGCACCATCTTGATTGTGATGCCCGCAAACCCAGCAGTCTCAAAGCTGTTACTCAAGTATTCCCCTTTGCTCCTCCTCCAGCAGCTACATAACATATTATGTAGGGAGGAGAGGGGTGCAGGAGCTAGTCCAGCACAGACAGAAATTAGACACTCCAATCAGTTAAAGTGACATTAAAGGATAATTTTTCCCCCCCTCTTAATCCGTTTTCATCTGTCCCTCCAGCGACTCTCCGATCCAGCGCTGACTCCTCTCTGCTTGCAGGCATTTCCGATCCAGCTGTGTCTGCATGCGGGTGCACGCGTCCATAGACTTACCTTGCGTCTCTGCTTGTCTCCCGGCCAAGAATCCGAAGTGCGCAGCGAAAACAAGGTAAGTTTAAACTGCTGTTAAAGCGTTTTTTTTTTTACTTTTTGCCTATATCTACTACTTGCAAGCAGTAGATATAGGCAAAAACGGAGGGTTTAGAACCCCTTTAAACAAAAGAATGAACCTCATATATGAAGATTGCCTGTTACAAACAATAACAAATTGGCTCTTATTTTCCATACTGTATAAAAAAGATAACAGTGGAATAAGATTGGTTTCTATGGGCCATTTGATAAGAGTAATCAATTGCTAGGATGTAGTGTAAATTAAGTCATGCTCCCTGGCAGGTGATATATATTAGAATTCGGTAAGACACAGGGGAGATGCGCACTTGAGCTTAGCATTTCTAAAAACTGGTTGAGTAACTTTCACTGTAGTTAATGGAAATACATAGCATTGCCTCAGGCCATTAGGAAGAGTCCGGGTTATGGGAGGATATATGCACAGCAAGTGGCATAACACAGATACGCTTTTGCACATGATGGCATTTTATAAAACAAAAGGTTCTTTTTTATCCAATCTGGTCAACAAGGTGAAGGTATCTTCAATATGTCAAATGTATGACCCGAGGAAGTATTTTAAGTCTAAAAAAGTTTATTACCTCGGAATAATGGGGAAATGTGTGCTATCCAAAAAGCTGGAGATGACTGATAGTGTTTTAACCAATTGGCTGCATTATCAGAGCAATGCTATCTCCATTTCCTCTAACCAGTACACAGTCATTATTCAACTAATTATTCAATTAATAGTTTATATTGGAGAGGTCAGCAATGGCCTTCAAATCTCCCCCATGACAGGTTTTCTTTTAAAAGCAGAAACTCCATACCAAAATATCGTCCTTTCTAAGGTTTTGTATACAACAAACAAAGCTCTATCATAGTGGGCAAGATCTGTTTTTTTTTTTTATGGAAAAAATGCTGTTGCAGGTTCCCTTCAGTGCTGCTCAAATGGCCAAAAAAAACCTAGGCAGTTGGTCATGTGATCTTTGTTAAACTAGAGGATCAAAGTTCCTGTTGGCTGTTTCTCTCCTTCAAGGGAGATCATGTGACCAAACACCTTGTTTTTTTGTCATGCATTGTAAAGTATAAGGCACCTGCCTTTTAGCCTGCTATTCTTTATGTACCCCAGCAAGACTGTAAACTGTAAAATATCACTTTGTTCAGTCTTTAAAAGGAATGGATAGAATTTTATATTGCTTCTCCCTGGGCTCATTTACAATAAATGAGAAGTGTAAAGTCGCTCCACAGTTATTACTTTATGATTTTGCATACAGTCAGAGGTTACATATCCAGTTAGGGGGCCAATAAAATAAGATTTTGCACTGGGGTATTGAAGTATATTATAGAGCGCAGAAGTATAATCTGCTGGTTCTAAAGGGGAAACCTGGAGCTTGCCATTGTTGACCTCCTTAAAAAATGCTAGTTCCCTGGCTGTAATGCCAATTCTTTGACTTCCATATATTCCACTGACCAGGAACAAGCATTCAGCAAAACATTGAAAAGTCAGAGGTCTGATCCACATGCTTGTTCCAGGTCAGAGTCTCAGAAAACACAGCAGACATTAGATCTGCATGGCAGCCAGACAACTAGAATTTTCAGAAGAAGAAATCAGCAGTAGCAACCTTCTGGTTTCTCTCAGCACAGGTTTCCTTTAACCACATGCTGACCGGGGTGGTAAACCCCCTTCCTGTCCAGGCCATTTTTCAGTATTCAGCGCTGCAGTACTTTGACTGACATTTATTCAGGCATGCAACGCTCTACTGAAATTAATTTTATACCATTTTTTAGGGACACATAGAGCTTTCTTTTGGTGGTATTTAATCACAACTGGGATTTAAATTTTTTACTGTACAATGGAAAAACGGAAAATTTTCTTTAAAAACCTGCTTTATGTTATAAAATATTTATTATTACCCAATTGTTTAGGTAAAATATAAAAAATGAGGTCACGTCAGGTAAATAGACACCAAACATGTTAAGCTTTAACATTGCGTGCGCCTACAGAATCGCAAAAAACTACCATGCCTAAAATTGGCCATAGGCAACACTTTAAAAGCTTTTACCGCTTATCAGTTTAGTGTTATCAGTGATTGATGGGCCTAGAATTATTGCTCTCACTGTGATGTTCTCGGCGATATGTAACATGTGTGGTGTAATCGTTGTTTTTGTACGTAGGCGCACCCGACGTGTATTTACGTGTATAAGTCCGTGCGCGGGGGACTTAAAACTTTTTTTATGTTTTTTTTATTTTTTTTAATATGAAACTTAATTTTTTTTTAAACCACTTTTTTAACTGCTTCATCAGCTTCTTCTCTGGCTCTCAGCCAGCGAAATGACAGCTAAAGGCAGAAGTAATACACATCGCTTCCAACTTTAGAGAGAGTAGGGGGAGAGATCAGCGGTGGGGGAAATGCTAATCTCTCCTCCTTCTCTCTACCAGAAGCCACTAAGCTGGTGTTCTCGGTCCCAGGCACCGCAGGGGGGACAGCGGTGCCCGGGATAACAGGCAGCAGCAAAGGGGGGGGGGCTATATAAGCGATTGGCCAGCTATAGAGCCGGCCGAACGCTTGTATGTAACAGCAGTGATGGCTGTACACATTCCTGGCGGGAAGGATCCGCCGCACGCAATTTTATGATGGGCGGACGGCTAGGGGTTAAAGAGAGCCTGTTAGGTTGCTCTACATTGATACGTTAAAGCAGGGATAGCCAACTCCAGCTGTTGTGGACCTACAAGGCATTGCAAGACTCTGACAGCCACAGGCATTACTTCCAGAGGCAGATGCATGATGGGATTTGTAGTTCCACCACCGCTGGAGGGCCAGAGTTTGGCTACACCTGCTTTAAAGGCTATGTAAACAAGAACATTATTTTATTTAATCTCGTTTGATTTGTTAAAATTACTGTTGTAAGTGTTTTGTTACATCTGTTTGATAGGTGCAAAAATACCTCTTGATTGTGCCAGAAATATTGTGAGCTCTCTGTCTGCGTTGAACTCCTGTCAGTTACATTGTTTCCAGTTGCCCCTTTGCACTACAAAACACCTCCCCTCCTGTCATAAAGAGGAGGAGAAGGGACAGTGTTTTGTAGTTCTAATACACTTTATGTCCTGGGGTGACAACAATGTTCCTCCACAGTGTACAGCAAATGACCTTTTGTGAAATGTGTTACTGGCAGGACCACCAGGTGAGAAGAGAGAAAAAAAATTGTCTGAAAAAAGAAAACATGCAGCTACCAAAATCTAGAGAATGGTAAATTGCAATATAGTACATTTTGTTCTGGGGTTTAGATACCCTTTAAGGTTCAAACCCCAAAGTGGCCAAACTACAAATAAATAAATACAAATGTTATATATGACGAATGCAAATCCCATCCCAACTAACCATATGTTTCTAAATCCATTGCACAGTATTTATGTCACAGAAACAAGACTTTTTTTTAATAACCTTTTTGGCCATTGCAATAAAGTTTTTTTTCTTCTCTTTCCAGAGGAATCAACACAACTATATTTTATAGAAATGAAGAGCACCCATGGGCTAAATGAATGATTTTCATAGATATTAAACTGTAGCTGCCTCTAGCTGTAACAGTTTATACAAATATTTAGCCCGGCGCAGATCACATGCAAATGAGAAGACACCACAGGCTCTGTGTGAAAAGCAAAAACAGTTTGCTGGGTTTGATGAGGCTGAACACTTTTTGTTTGTCTATAAGCCTGCAAAGAGTGTCACACTGTTCCTTTACCCCAGGGCTTAACTCCCACTTTCTACAATAAGCATATGTATGTCCCCAATT